GGGTAGACTACCCTAGGAGAACATTGGTTAGATTTATGTCAGAGAATGTGTAACTCAAAAATTTTTAATAACCACATTTAGAAAAGTAAAGTGAAATTAATTCAATAATATTTTATTTGATTTAACTTATCTATATCATTTCATCATTGACTACTCATTTGTATAATTTATGTAGAAGTTATTGAGATAGTTCATTTTTTTTATCTTTCGTGAGTCTTCAAAAGCTGGAGTGTATTTCACACATAAATATACATCTCAGTTTGGATTAATTACATTTCAAGTGCTCAGTAGCCTCCTGTGACTAGTAGCTACTGTATTGGACAGCCCAGATCTGGAGAGACCAGCAGAGAGCCCATATTTGGCTCTTATGTTATAAGCTCCCCATAGGTTTGCATTGATTGATTGCGTTTTGAACTTAGGCCCTCCCTTTCTTTAGAGGGATGCTGTAGAGAGCATCCATCTACAAAGTAGGCCTTATGTTTACTGGGAAGATGCTCATCCTCACATTATACAGTGTTCTCTTTATGAAAATCCCAGGGAGAAGTATATTTCTGCTCTTAGAATCTAAAACAGTTACTTGCCTTGTTGGTTTGTTCTGATCTTCTGGACATTATATATTGTGTAACTAATTTCTTTTCCTATTTCTCACTGGTGACCAGAAATATAGAATCAAATTTGTGGTCCACATGTAGTGTGAATATAGGATACATTTCCCAAAATGTGTTTCATTCCTTAGTAGCTTGCAAAATGGTGGTGTTGTTCAGAACACATTTTGTGAAATGCTACAGCCACCTGTCAGATCCAAAAGATAATTCTGATAGTGGTGTTAAAAAAAAAAATGGAGTAATGGAGTGAGGAACTAGACACAGCCCAACAAGAGTGGAGCAGGTGTCAATGGGCAGGAATGATGGGCAAGTTCTGGTTGCCTAGTACCACAGATTTGCCCGCCTTCCATCTGGGCACCCAGAACTTCTGGCCAAGAGGTTTTAAATACCCAGGGTGTGGCCCACCTGCTCCATGTTGCTGGGAACGGCGGTAAATGTCCCTGGATAGACTGTGGTGGCCCAAGTTGGCTGACGGGAGGGGAACCCCAGCAGCCAGTGCCAAGCTGCTTTAGGAGCCCTCAGAGTGAGCCACAGGTGGCCTGCACCTGAGAGTGTCCTCATCTCCCTAGTGACTTTCCAGGGCCAAACAGGCCCTCCCTCTAGCCAAGATTCCAACCTTGGATTCTGGCCTTGACAGCTCAAGCCAATTCAGGGATTTTTGGATGTCCCTACAGCGGTTTTGAAAAAAAAAAAATTACAATCTTTAGCATTGGATCACCCAGCCAGTGGATGTGGACGAAGGGCACAGGTAGCTGCCAAAGCTGTGAAGTGTAGGAGGCCTGGAGCAGTGATACCGCCACCGTGCTGTCATCTGACCTTCAATTGCCTCCTTCCGGAGCAGGAGTGGGGATTTCCTCGCTGGGCTCACCCAACCCGGTCGCATCTTGTCCAGTGCAGCCATGCCAACAATACCGCTCCCTTCACCACCCTCTGAGGAGATTTCGGCTCCTTCATCCTTCATCTCAGCTCTGCGCTCCTGCACCCCGACAGAACTCGCCAGGAAGTGGGGGCAGCGGAACCGGCGCCGCCTGCGCGACAGCGGGGGTGGAGGAGATGGGGAGCGGGGAGGAGCGCCGCGGTGCCAGCCAGTGCGCTCGCAGGGGAGGCGGCTTGGGGTGGCTCTGGCTGGGATCTAGTGTCTTTGGGGGAGGGGGAAGGGGGACAGTCGCTGTCGCAGCCCCGCCCACATGGCGGATCATTCTACCCAGGGGTGCAGGTGCGGCGGCACCTGGCCGGCTGATTTAAGGACCGACCCGCCTGGCCCGCCCCCGAGGCGCAGGTGGGTCACCACCTGTCAGCACACTCCAACCACCCTGTCCCGCCTTCGAGGTCCATGCCTCACTAGGAGGACGAGCAGACAGCCCAGGGCAGCATAAATGTGTGCAGGATGGGGTGTGCTGAAGCCAGAGCAGGGGGTCCTGAAACACTGGGTAGTCTGCCCTGACCTGCT